GCCCTTCCACCCTCTGTAAAGGGAAACAAACAGGCAACCCAAATGCCACAACAGAAAAGGAACGGGGAAAAAAAACACCCGTCAAAAAAAAAAAAAAAAAAGTTATCAAGAATTTTGTGCAGCCAACTCCTTTTCCAAACGCTTCACTTCACGCTCCATATAGGAAATACAAGCTCTTAGATGCCTCAAGGTGGGCTGCGCAATCAACTTCTCAAGAGTATATAGTTGAACCTCTTGTAGGGCAAAAGCTGCCGCCATTGCGTCAGGGGCATCTTTGCAACGCCGCCTAACCAGCTCCACCGCAGCATTGACCTCGGAACGAAATACATGAAGAAGACGGTGCGTGACTTCGCACGGTGGTAATGACTTCAGCGGCATACTTCCAACAGGAACAATCTCAATCTCAACCTTCTCATGCGTTTCGCCAGGACCTGTCTGAAAGCAGTGAATAGAAACGCTATTTCTGTTCGTCGCGTCGCTGTAAAAAACGCTAAATATCAAACCAACCCAACCGCTTTCCATCTGCTGGTACGAGCCCTGGGAGCGAAGGTCAACCTGCGACGGGTATGGCGTGATGCGGGGGTGGCTGTGGTACCACCCAATCACGCGGGTATGATGTCCCACCTGTTTTGTGTAGCGCTCCGCCTCATCGGAGGCACTGGCAAGCATCTCTGGGGCAATTTCAACACGGTCGGCACGCCTCACACTGCGCTGCAAAATCCAAGCACCCCACACATTGGCACGCTTGCGAACGGTGGACGTTGACGTTGGTGTTGGAGTTGGAGCATTCACATTCCCACCGAAGGATTTGGCACCTGTGGAAATTGCAGGAGAGACGGTTGTAGCCACCTTCACTGTCTCTGAAGAAACAGCAACTGTCGTACTACAACCGTGATGCACGGTGACCTCCCCAAGTAGCAACCCCATCACCTCTTCTTGTTCCGTCGTAAAGGCATGCGCCAGGCACGCCTGTATCACCGTATCCGCGACACAAACCTTTCAAGCGGAGCTCT